AGCTGACGTGACATGCGAAGCAAGACTACTCCTAGTGCAAGTTCGAACAAGTGTGACTCTCTCTCTCTCTCGTTGAACATGTTCACACAATTGGATTGATCTCATTTCATTGAACGTGTTCCATGCGCTCCATGGTCCACAGGTGGGACTGAACCATATGTGACGGGGTCTTTGTTTCCACACCATTTGAAACAGAACACTTCTCCCCTCCTTGGTTTTGAGGTCCCCCTGCGCCCTTCCAAAACGGTTGGTTCTGCCGCCCAGCAATTGGACTTGCTTCGTCAGTTCACTGGCCTCATGACAAAACACTTCCAGCAAATGTAGACGGCTGCATCCGTTCGAGATCACTGGATCACACCTTGCTAGACTGGCTTCCTTTGAGATCTGCTGAACCAGTGCATGGAATTTATGGGACAGACTGTGAGTCTTACCTGGACTGACATCTTTTTGGCACATGGACGATACATGTATATCAGCTTCCTTGAAGGAGTCTAGCCATGACGAGCTCATGAAGCCCGGAGGTGGGCAATGATCTCCTGCATCGCACCTTCGATGGTCTGAAGGCGGGTGTCCATGGCTGCCATCTCCGTGTAGATCTCTGGCTGGATCTCGATCTCCTGAACTGGTTCCCAGGATTCGTCCTCGGCAAGATCTGCCAAGTCCTGTGGGGTCACTTCCTGAATCGGCTTGGCCTTGGCCTTGCTCTTGAGAGCCGGATGAAGTGGCCTCTGACTTGGTGATGGCTGCAGGTCTTGACTGTTCAGACCCAGTTGGTGCTCGGCATAGGTCACCCTCAGTGAGATGTAGTGGATGAACTTCTGATGGTTGACCTTGTTCGACGAGTGGTAACTTGCCTGGAACCACTTCACATACTTGCCCTCCTTTTCCCACATGTCCGAGTAGGTCCGACCGAGATGGGCTGATCCGAAATCGATCTTGGCTTGGCCCATTTCGTCCAGTGATAGGAGCTTGAAGGCTTCGAGCTGATCGAGGGCTTCTTCCTTCTTTGCTTCGCCCATGACACGTGCCAAGCGGGCACTCAGAGCGGCTGCTTCGGAGGTCGGCATGATAGTGATGCGGCACAGGTGAACGAATGGGATGGTCACACGTGTGTGATTGCACAGATCCGGTCTTGAACCCAAAACGGATGACACCGGGCTGGACCCCCCCTGGAACCGATTCGAATGAGACTTTCTCACCCCCGCGAACACTCGGACGTTCGTTTGGTTTCTTTGCGTTCGTATGGGTCTTTGTTGATTCGGGCATGGCGGCTTCGAACTGTTGGATTCTGCTTGTTACAAGACCTGTCCTCACCTGAACGTTCTGTTTCATCATGGTCTTGGTTTCCGACTGCACTTGTCCAGGCTTCTGGACAGAGACACTTGGCAAGCTTTTGCAATTCAAAGTGGCGAAGGTCTCGGCAGGTTCAGCTTCGGCATCTTGACTGGTGGGTGTGATCAGATCATTTAGATCAACTAAAAACAAACCCTTGGCATTCAGCTGAATTGGAATATTGCGCTTCAAGAGAGTGCTTTTGATCACTTCACCAGCTATATCTACGGTGGCTCCGATGGCTCGGAGCAGAGTATTCGACAGCAGGAAAGGTGTATGGCCTGGCACTATGGCAATCTTGAGCTTCAGCGGTCCGATTGGGACAACGAGTGCATGCTTGCTTTCAAGTGTCCCTTGATTCCCAAACCGAAAAACCACTGAACAACGACACCTTTGGACCTGCTTCCGAACCTCTGGCCTTAGTGCGGCTAGGAGATTGGCTACGAAACCGCTTCCTATGACGGTCTTAGTAGCACCTGTATCTACGATTCCCAGGGCATCGCGAGTTGAAAAGCTCGAGAATGCACTGGCTTCGGTGTCATGCATCGACTTGGCTTCAGGTGATTGGGCGGTGCTAGCAAACGCACTCTCTGGCAAGCTAGTCCTGACATCAAAATTCTCACACTCGGTGATCATTTCCCCTTTGTGGGCTAAATCAATGATTTCCCCTTCATTGGTCTCCCACAAACCCCTCAGAACACCGGTGTCCCTTGACTCACAAACACACAACACAGCTGTCGATGGGACCGACTGAGATCCACGTTGCGGGCATTCAGCCTTCCAATGGCCTTTTCGGCCACAAATCCTGCAGCTGCTCTCCATGATCCTCTGCTGGAGGCTCTTTCTATTGCCAGAAAACTTTGAGGAGTAGGGGGATCGCTTTCCTTTTTCACCCCCTTTCCCTTTTCCATTGCCTTTGTTCTGACTTGTTTGACTGCCTTGCGGCCAAACAACGTATTCACCGACTCAACCACGCAGTCAACAACAACCAAGCACAAGGGTCAGGTGTTGTCTGGAGCTTTAGCGGTAGCTCCGCTACCAATGTGATTGACACAAAGGTAGCAACAAAAGATCCTCCTTCCCTCGCACAGCCGCGTGCGTTTTCCACTCACAGCTCACCTGAAGGTTGGTACGAACGGTCGGGCGCCTCGCCCTGCAGTGTCCTCACTGCTTCTATGGCTCAGGTCACGGGTGACCCACCCTACACCACCCTTGCGGCCTCGCACACTCGTGGCTTCGGACGTGAACACACCTGAGTGGGTCAAGACTGGTTCCTCAGTGACCGAAAGGTTCGAAATTCACAATAAGTATATATATATATATATGATGGATATATATATATATATTATACATACCAGGACCAACCAAGGGGTTTCTTGGCTGGACTACCCTACACTATACTTAGAGAGATATCCACTGGGTGTCCCCAGCGGACCATCGGTCTGGCCCAAGAGATCATCGCTGGTCGACCTGGTCTCCGAGGCGCTCACGGGCGGGCCGATCCTGATCATGAGACAGAAGGAGATGTTTACAGCCATCCAGCCGGGACCTGGTGTAAAGGAATCCAAGCACCTGATATCATGCCTTATCGGTGCACCTATCCACCCACGGCAATATCACGTGATGGGACAAAAGGCACGGCTTTATTGTGACATGTGACCGTGGATCAATTGGCAACACTTGGAAAATAAATGCCATGCATTCTATGCGCATGTAGAATTATGGTGATGTGTTTTGGCATTGTTCATGTCTTCAGAATGAAGGAGACGAGAGAAAAGATTTGCGGTGAACAAAGATGAAAAAGGGAGCTTGCAGCTGCTGGTCATATGCTGAGAGCATCAGACGATGACCGTCGGCTCAGTGCTCGATTGGACAATTCTTCGAGCGTGAATGCTAGATCTCAAAGACCCGAATCCACACATTGTGCAGGGATCGTGAGGCACAATAATTCCTTTGCCGGCAGGATCTGACCCATTTGCAGGTGGCAACTGTCATGTAGGTGTTTCAAACTTTCTGTGCTGTTCCCTAATTGTCTGACAAAATTACAAGTTGCGAATACGTCATCCCTGGTCACCTCCTGCTTTGCTTCTTTGGAACCAACTGGTTTGGTGAAGACAACTTGTCTCCCACCGGCTTCCATCTACAGCAGAACCCCTTTTGTAAGAATCATTCCACCAAAAGCCTCTTTTCAAAGCCTCCAATCCATTCTCCTTAACATCCGTTTGACCACGGCTTGACACACCACCGTGGATTCTCTCAAAAACCGGGTTTCAGGGCCTCCGGGATCGCGCCTGGCAGATGTGGCGGCCACTCGGAGGAGATCGGAGGAGGGCCTTGTTGACTTCTTGATGTCCAAAACCAGGCAACGACCTCCTGGAAGAAGGGAGATAGACCGAAATAGACCAGTCTACCCAGCCAGGGCCAGGGGCTCTCTCTCTTAAATTGTGGCCATGTGGGTATTTAATTAAATAGTGGCTGGGTAGACTGGTGAGTTTCCCGAAGCGGATTGATCAACAGCTGGACCATTCATTATCCTGGAAAATTGTCACGATGCTGACTATCAACCACAAACTCCTGAAGCTGTTAAACTCTTAAATATCAGAAGACATAAAAGTACTTGCGTCCTCAAAAGAATGCCACTTTATTGCCGCTTCGACGATATATACAACTTACATCAACTTACCCAGTCGATCTTAGTTGATTGGACGAACCGGTACTTCGAAAAAAAAAAAAAAAAAAACTTTCGGTTTGTCCCCGGAAGGCGTCGGAGGCTTCAGAGATCGTCCACTGAGTCACTGACACCTCTCGCACAGTTCGGCGCAAGAAACACAGGTGGTCAGGTCGTCAGCGGCGCAGACAGAGTCACCCTATAGGGCTCCTATATCCTCAGAAGGTGGTTAGACCCCCGAACCCACCCCAACCACCTTCTGGTGATGTGGTTGGAGCCCTAGGGTCAATACACCTTTTCAGTGCACCTAAGTCGGAGGGGTGGCGACCAAAGCAACGCCTCGGACGCCTTTTCTGCCTGACTATACTTGCCATGGATCGATCGATCTGTTCCATTGTCGCATTAAAACAAAAACATCAGAAGACACAAACAACGCGTCGGGACCCGGCCGAGCTGCTCCAAAAAAGCACACAAAACACCAGCAGGTTGGGAAGGGTCACCAGACCACAGTTTTCCAGAGTGAATTGAAGGGGAGAGTGGAGGGTCACTGGCATTTCCACCAAAACGATGAATCTAAAGTCACTTGATCGTCTCATATTTGGAAGTTTCAAGATTCAGGACTACGTTGAGAAACCCTAGTCTTGGGCTATGAGTGCTCCACACCAACACCTCTCACATTGAGTGAGTTTGTCGACACCTGAAGTGTGACACGCAGATCACCAAGAATTCCGTGAGGTGCTATCCCCTACCTCCTTTTTGCCCTCCCATGGTGGAATACCGCAACGTAAAGAGATTCACTATACTATGTAAATCAATGGTGCTGGCGGTTCTTGGGGGATTATGTTGTCCATCCAGATGCCGAGGTGGTCCCGACAGGTGTGACTGGAGGCACCCCAGAGGCTGAACAGTGTCCGTTTGATGCGATGCGGGGACGCCACATGCGTGTTTGATTGAGATCGAGATGTTGGATCGACCGATGATTTCTTGTTTGTTTGCGAACGCATAGATTGAAGCGCGTGATCCCGAGTGCATCGTTTTTTGCATAGATGGCCTGACCTACAGGCTTGGTATGGTCGATTACCAGAGGGGATACCCCCGGGTCATGTCCTGAAACCATTGTTGTTGTTTCTTATTTTTATAGACTAGAGTGACCAGAAGACCAGGACAACCTTTTTTGGTCTTGGAAGGCGATCCTGGTGTTGTTTTTGGGAGTTTCGCTGATCCACAGAGGGGAAGACGACTGTGAACAAGAGACTCTTTTTGGACTATACATTGCAGCAGTCACCCCAAAGTAGTTGATAGCTGAAAAAAGAGCGAAAGGTGGTTGAAATTGTCTCAGTGTGCATCAGAGTGCCAGCGATTCAAAAGCACGCGATGCAGAGCCAGGTGCTTTCTACGCCACTCTTCTTGGATATTGAGCACCTTGGTTTTGCCAGCCCAGACCAGTGGTTTTCAGCATGTGTGTTGGCAAGTCAATATAGCTAGTATTTTGTTTCAGTGGTGTCAACAGTGTGGCTTGTGATGCATCACCGGTGGGACCAATGCCACCCTTGCATTCTAATTGTATAATTCATTTTGTAACTCCCTGGACACCCATCCACTTCTGTGATTATTCCACTTCGTGTGGCAATTGATCCTTCCCCAGCTTGTCTCCCATGTAGAACTGCCAGCTCGTCCACCTGGTCTCATTCTCCTTTTGTTGCTCTGAAGCAGTGACCAGAGGCTGATGATGCACACCATGCACAGAAGTCACACCCAGTCTTTTCGAACGCGCTGTTGTATGATATTACTAGGCCGAAGTCAGTGAACTACACGACACGGAGACACTTCAATATGGTACATTTGCCTACGTTGGGGTGGTTGAATCAGGTATATATTACTAATGCGGCATATATAATATATTTTTTCTGGGAAGTCCCATCATGCCATCGGTGGTGTCTGGGAAAGTTCGGGGCAACAACACGAAGTGGAACCTCTCCTCAGAGCATTGCCCAACGATCTATAGACATTGGTGCAGGATCGGTTTACTAGACATGATGACATGCACTGAAATGGCACTGTTTGGGACTGAACGTGGGCCAGTTCTGGTCCCTAGCCGTTTTGGCCCGAGGAAGACCCTCGAATAGGGCAAGAGCCCAAGCTGATGGAGCCCAAGCACCTTCGGACACTGCCGTCCAGGGAACGCTTGTTGAAGAAGCATCACCTCGAATGGTCCAGCTTGGCTGCGCAGCAACGCCGAGAAATGCAGGTCCTTCAGTTACGAATGCAGAGCCTGGTCGTCCGGGCTAGCTGTGTTGCTACCGTGACCCCGATGGAGAGGGCCATGTCCAGGCCCAGCCACGTGCACGTGACGCCACCGTCGTACTCGACGGCTCAAGCAGTGAACCAAGTACAGCCGTGGTCCATCCAAGTCGATCACGCCTGCAGATCGCATCAAGGCCAGAGCGGTTCCAGGAGCATAGAGCTGGAGGAGACGAAGTCGGATGGCAGTGGCAGTCCCAATAAGTTTGAGTGTTCCAAGAACCCGACAATCCAGTGTGGTAGTGAGAAGATGGAACATTCAACTTCTGGGGGCTCGTCCGACGAGTCCTGCTTGATCTTTGACGAGGAGTTGATCTCTGAGCCGCATAACTTTTTAAGAAGCCTTACCATCTAGCTCATGTCGGCCATAGGCATGCATCTTCGTGAGAGGCCGATCGGATCTTTTTCTCCAGATGGTGGACAAGGATGGACAAGGTATTTAATTTGCCCACACCGCTGGCTAAGCCAGCTCGCCCGCATGAGGGTGAGAAGAACTTTTACTTCATGGCTGAAAACGTGAGAAAGCGACGCTGCATGCGAAGGAGGGGCACATCAAGTCTTAGCCTCACTCTCATCCAAATCCTGCTGTGTGAAAGCTAAGCTTTTGGCCCTGGTTCGACGAGAAAGACTTCAGCCAGCTTTGGATGCTGAAAGACTGGCCCATGGCCCAGTGGCCCATGGCTTTCCAGTCCGATTCTTTTTTTGTGCCGGATTCAGGTTGGACAGCCATGGGCATTCGGGTTTTAGATGGTTTTAGGTCGTTTGGTGCGTAGAAACACCATGGGAATGAGGAGTAGTTAGATCGCAATCCTGCCCAGGCATTCGGCCGAATCGGTCTCCAGGAGTGGTGAGTCTTCACACCCCGAATCACACCGAGTCGGTCCGTCGACCGTCCTCGAACACCGACCGCTCCGATCTCGGCGCCCGACCGCGGCGCGGCGGCCGAGGTATTACTTGGAGCGACAGGTCGCCCCGGCGCTCCATCGCCTCTTCATGCTCGTCCGAGGAGAGAAGACGAAGACGAGTTCGACGAAGAGAAGACGATCGTTGAGCGAAAAAGAGAGGGAATCCTTTATATACGGTTGGTTCCTTTTAAATTCGACCACTCAGTTCATACAACCAAAAGACCTAATGGTCTGAACATGTCTGAACTCCAAATCAATCGGTGTACTTTTGTTTGTGGTGTGCTAGTGGTTTCGCCACGTGTTTATTTGAGCAATCCAGAGCTTTGCTAAGCTCACTGACCACTGCATGCGATCAGGAGTCATGTGAAGTGATTTTTGGGGTCATGTGTGACACTTCAAACACCCCTGAAATCGGTGAAAGATCCAATGTAGGTTTTCTGGTCCCCCAAAGAAGGAGCCGAATCAAGAAAAGGGAGGCCGTTCCCGGAACACCTCGGAACAAGTCGGACGCTTCTGAGACCGCACCGGAGCCTCGCTCGCCTCGGAGCGTTCTCGGTGCGAAGACCGTGCCGTCTCAGGCCCCAACGGTCAGCAGGGCTACGTGGACGTCCGCCGTTGGATCGCTGCCGGCTATCGCCCGAAGCGCAGGCCGCGCGGCAGCCGGGCAACGACACCCTGGAAGAATAGACATATATATATGAATTCGTAATAGAGCGTAGTAGCAGCTTGGGGGTCACATGAGGTAACTAGCTTATGCTGGGTCATGATGGTTTTAGGTGTTTGGTCCTAACTGGGTCAAGAACCGGTATAAGTTCAGATGCCCAAGACCAAGACCGACGGCTTAGCCCATATAGTGAAACTTCCATCAGACAGCATTGGCGCATTGGCCCCGGTGACGCGGAAGGAGGTCCGAAAATCTGGCTTTGCCGCTTCACCTGGGTTCGTCCAAGTCGACATTGCACACAGTCGGACTGGGGCCCAAGTCGTCAATCATCTGGTGTCGACTGACACCAACGACTTGACGACTCGACTCGGCGGTACGGAAACAGCGAAGGAGACCAAAGCCGGAGACAGCGAAGCGGTCGTACGGCCCCACCCACCGAGCGGTCGACCTGGGCCTTCATCGTCGCTGGGCCGAAAACACCATGACATGCAACGCCAATGTGACTTGGATGTTAAGAAATCATACAACATGTTTTCCTGTTTTCTGGAGCACCAAGAGTCTCATCAATCATTAGACCGTAGGAAATCCATGGAAGTTCTCCCGGGTCAAGTTCTCTGTGTGTTTGTCCTTCATCAACAGATCTTGCTGTTGCGAGCCTGCAGGGATGTGGCGGCAGTTCTGAGCTCTGCACAGCGCGACGCGCTGGGCATGGCCAAAGGGCCAGTTTGTGTGGCCTGTGGGCAAAGAGGTGGGGATGGAGAATGACCGGGAGTGCTGCAGGTGTGTGGATGAACATAAAGCAAGCTAGGACTTTTGATGAAAAAGCATTGACGATTGCTGGGTGTCTATTGTCTTCCTTGTATCCATTAGGAGTTGGAATGTTTTGACTTGGCAGAGATGAGCATCAAACCACCAGATGAGGATTGGACCAGGGCTGCACCCAGTTGAATTGGAGTTTCGTTTCGAGAGTAGAAGGTGCTTTAGCCCCTTTGAATGTTTAAGCCTCCGGTGGCGCTAAGGCTCCGGATAGATGAATTCTATGAACATGTAATAACATGTATAATCAACAAAGGTGTGGGATGGGGGGTGGTTTTGCTCCTTGGAAGAGGAGTTGGAGGAGTTGGATAGGCTCAAGAAGGAAGGAGGACTTCGATGCGTCGGCATTTCATCTGATTTCAGCTTTCGACTTACCTATCCTTTTGGTTTCATCAGCAGTCCAACCAATGTCCTCCATGGAGGAGCAGAGGCCTCTTCCGGGAGCTTCAAAGCATGGTTGTTGTTTGAACTGTTTTCATTATGGTTTTAGTAGCCAGAGAATTCAAAGCACACAGTGACTGTGGATGAAGACTCAGTCCCCTCGATCCCCTCATCGATGTCGTTCATTCTCCATGATCGGCACCGCAGTCTCAGAGAGGTCAACCGACCAATCCGACCCATCCACACGAAGTCTGTGTCTACTGTACGTAACCAAGGTCGTTACCGGTAGCGAATTTTCAAACTCCTGGCTTCAACGTACCTTGTATTCAGGGCGCTTATCTATGACATCTATGACTACATGGTATCTCGCCGGTCCGGCAGCAGAATTCGGGTGAAGTGCCAAGCAGTTGATGAGCCCAGACACTCCATGGAACTGGCAAATTTACCTTCACCCCAGGTCAACTGATTGCTATTCCAGTCCCACGGGTCGTGGTTTATTATGTGCTTGTCGTGCGGTGGCCTTGTCTCTGTGGAACAGCAGGTGTTGGATGTTCTGTGTTTTTGGGATGTTTGTGCACACGCCAGACAAACATAGAACTGTTTGTTGAGGCATCTGGTTTTCTTACCCCTTTGATTTACAATGTTTCTATGTGTTTCTATTGTTGTTTAAAGGGAGGTCTTTGGTAAGCTTGGACTGAGGAGGTTGTTTCATAAAGTTATGTAGCTTATCATTACATTACATATGTAGTACCTGCCATTGGATGAACTTCATTGGAGTCAGAGAATTGCACATTTTGGACATCACCAGAAATACTATAGAACATCACCATGGATTGGTAACTCCCTTTACGAATCACCATCATCATCATCATCATCATCATCATCATCATCCTCATCCTCATGCTCATCCTCATCCTCATCCTCATCCTCATCCTCATCCTCATCCTCATCCTCATCCATTCTTAGTCGCACATGGAATACACCCAATGCAGGGTTTTGAAGGCAACGAAGAAAAAGCGCCTCCACCGTCGGGTCGTGACACTCCTTTTCATCCTTGTTCACTCCATTGTGCGTAGGTTCGCTGAACAATTTCATTTGCAGCGCCTGTCAAGAGGGAGACGCTGCCGCCCGGTGAAAGATCCGACGGACAGCGACCGGGCATACGAAGCAGTGATCGAGGTGTCGTCATTCTTGACAGTCCTCCGTTTGGAAGTGGATCATGAATCATGAATCTTGATTAGACTGAGATGTTTTACAAGGATTTTTGCAGGCATCCAGTCGTCCACTGAAGCAGGTTTATGAATCCAAGGGCTACATCCTTGCGGAAATATGCAGAATGCATTTTTGTGACTCTTAGGAACCCAACACTGCAAGTCGTTTTTTCTGGAGGGATGTCCCAGATGAGAGCACATTGTCCTGAATGTATCCTCAAGGGTCAATGCTAGTCATGTTCGGGTAGATCTTTGGGTTGTTTGTTGAAGAAATCCTTGAGGAGATGCAGTAACCCCAGGCAACGGGGAATTTGAAGCATAAAGAAAAATCCTAGTAAACTCTATCGTTCGAAAAAATGTGTCTTCGTTGGAGGTTTACTTGGCCTCGGGTCTCACTTGTCAAGCAGTCTTTGGATGTCCAAACACCATCAATTTGTTCAAGACAAGCCTGAGAGAGATGCAGGACATTGACGATGTTGATATTTATTTAGCCACATTTAGCCTAAAGAGCTGGTGGTCAGAGTGTTGACTTCTAGACCTGTGAGAGTTTCTTCTCGTTGCTTCCACTTCAGCTACGAGATGTCGAAAAACTGGAACTACCTGCCTTGGTCGTGTCAGGTGCCACGCTTGCTGACCAGCATGTCACATCGGCAATTCTGGGAGCGACGACTTCAAGTGTGCCTCTTGTTGCTGAATGGAGGAGTGGCATTTTTGGACTCCTCAGAGCGGGTTCATCACCTTTAACAGGGCAATTTGCCAAGCGGGTTCATCACCCCTTCGCAGCTGCTGGGTGGCTTTTTTGAGTTATTTTTTTTGAACCCTGCACCAACAAGCACCAATGCTCCTCACACTGGACATGTACAAACACACTGCTGTTGTGGACCGACTGGGACTGTTGAGATCAATATCAATATCGTCAAGACTTAAGACATTTGAAGACATACCCTCCCAATCCCTCCCAACTTTATTGCTTAGGCACAAGGCTGTGTACAAAGAATATCAGGTCAAACCCAAATGCCCACCCGGGTCTCCACAGCTGGAGCTCCCCAAATCAACGACATCACTGCGCACCCATTGGGGTTCCGTCCACTCTGTCCAGGTCGCGAAGAGTGCCTTCGCTGCACGGGCTCCTTCGACATTGAAGCCGACTGCCGAAGCATCTACTGCGAGAACTTCTTCCGCAAGGACCGTCGGACCGGACGCCATAGACATCGAAAGACGGAGGTCGACGGAAACGGTCCCTTTTCGAAGACCATAACAGGTGGTGCCATCCACGTGGATGGCTGGGTTGTACGCATTGAGACCGAAATGATACCCACCATGGCCAGTTGCCAGTCGCACCGGTGGCTTGGACCGTGGTTTCAGCCGAATGCGAAGACCTCACGTACGTGACGTCCTAATGTGGTCCTGGTTTCGCCTTCGAACGGAAGGGGTTTTGGATGGTTTTGGAACATCCTCCAGCTTGGACAAAAAAGGATTCTCCACCGCTGTTGTTTGCTTTTCAACCAAGGACATTTGGACGTTCCTTCCTCCGTTCTTCAACCGTTCTTTTTCAGGCGAACGCGGAGGTGCAACTGAGAGCCTGTGTGGCTCCGACTTGGCCGACCTCCTTAGAGTCCTTCGAGTGGTGACCGGTGAAATCTGGCCCCCCCCCCCCGGGCGTCGGTTGGTCGACATGCCCAGATTCAGGTGTCCAAAAAGGGATGGCAGGAGATGGCTCGGGGGTTGAGGGAAACAAGATGAAATGTGGCAGTTCTACTGGGTCCATTAGCTTAGGGTGGTCTCAGGGGTCCGAAGGCAAAGGCCACCCACATGCGGGGTGTAGTGCAGGCACCAACGGGTGTTCACCGGGGTGTGACACCGATCCGCACCGACCAGCTGCGCCACCGGGTTAGCGGGAACCAGCTTGTTGGGAAGGCGCAGATCCGGTCTTTCCACGCCTGGAACATGGGCACCTTCAACTAGACTTGCGTGCTGTTCTTGCCAAAAGAACACCCATGATCACTGAAGGCACTGAAAAGATCTGAAAAGCGCTTAGACTGAAAGAACCTGGGTAGACTGAAGACTGGTCTATTTTCCGAACCGAACCGGGAGGTTTCCCTATTTTGATACACCCAAAGGCAGGTTCCAGTGTAGCAATCATTAGACATCAAACATAGCATGTCAGAGGATAGCAGAGGAAGACGCCAGAATTCCATTCTCTCGTCATGATCAACATTTTAAAGCCATGTTAAAGCCATGCATGGAAGCACAACCTCAGTTCGCCGCTTGGTCGGATTTGCTTGGTCGGATGGCTCAAAGGTAGTTGCACTGGCACGATGTGCCTGTCCGTGAGCGAACACCGTCTAAAACCACAGTAGACGCCGGAACGACCGCGCTGCGAGAGTGCGCAGCAGGCGCCTTAGTCGCAGCGGGCGCGCTCTTTTGGAAGACTTGGAGGACCTTTGTCACTATAGTAGCTTCTTGTTCCTAGTAGCGATGGCCTCCAACCTACTTGCGATGGCCTCCACCTAATAGCGTCGTTCCATATGGTGATGTAGTTTCTTCTGAGCTAGAAGCTTTGGCCTGTGCTGCTCAACATGGTCCCAGATAAACCATCCGACAAGCACTGAAGCGGTTGTTGATCGTTTCAGACTTTAGATGCAAAGGACACACGACTCACACGACTGTAACTATAACTCCTGTTTGTTGTATTTTTTGGTGGCATGTTTGGGGCTGGCCTCGAATGGGCGTGTTGTTTTTTGTTCAGATGATGTCCATGTAGGGAACTTGAAGAGTGCGCTATATCTTCAAGGCATAGCCTTGAGTTGCGAAGTTGCTTGAGGTTTCATTTTGACACGGAAGCTCGCTTTTGAGGTGTGCCATCCAGGAATTCAGGATGCCCTGGAGTGTTTGGCTGGAGCCCCAGCCATTTTGCATGCAAAATGACACAACATTAAACACGTGGGTGGGTGAGTTTGTGATCATGTTTGTTTGCCTTTGGAACTCAAGTATCGTAGTTGCCGCTTCGGCAACTCCTATCATGAATGTGTTGGGAACAGGAACTTGGGCTCATGACACGTCTCAGACACCCTCGTCCTTTGGATACCCCTCAACATCCTTCAGTGCTTCAGTCCTGGAGAGCTCGCCCTTCGCCAGGAGTGACCGGATCCCAGGAAAAGTGGAGTACCGGACAAGCAGTTCTGTTTTTTTTGGGATCGGGGGCACCGAACTGGTGGAAAAAAGGATGACACTCCCTGACCAGCGGAAAGCCGTCGTGACGTGGCGTTTGGCCCGCTCCGGGCCCGCTCCGGGCGATCAAACGGTCGAAGGAGTTCACCTCGTCGTTCGGCTCGTTGAGCGCCGGACGCGGAGGGCGATCCGGTCTGGGCCGAGGCACTGGGTACTGCTCTTCGCACCAGCTGAGGGCTTGATCCGGGACTGGAGAGGGGGCGAGGGCGAACGGGTCGGAGACCCCGCCACATCGGGGGAGTGGGCGTAGAAGAAGCGAAGGACGTTGAGCTGTTGACCCGAATCTGGTCCTGTTGACCGACTGGACCCAGATTGGGTACCACGCACCGGCGGAAGAATTTTGTTTCGAAACAACACCAAGAGAAAGGGCGGCTTCGTGTGCCAAGCGCTTGCAGGAATTCTATACCACCAATGCGGCCTGCAGACAACAGTACTGCATCAATCCAGCAGCTTGGGATGCAGCTCAGGATTTGTGCAGCGGTGCTTACGCAGATTGAACAGGCAAGAAGGAGTATGAAGGGGTCCAATTCAACAACATCGCCTCCAGTATCCATGACCTTTGCTAGCTTGAAAGAGTATGAAATGGTGGCCAAATGACATGTGGGTGGCTGAATGTGGCTGATTCCTTCCTACTTTTTGGACAGTTTTAGTGCTGCTTTGATGCGTGTTGAAACCATTTAATACCCTTGATTAAAGTACAGGGGGGATGCACCATCAAGGAAGGGCAGTCTGCAGTCACAGACCTCCTCATCATCCACTTCATCTCTTTTGTTATATAGAGCGAGCAAGTCCGTGTTACGGTGATGTCATGCCTAGTGTGTTTAATGGTTCAAAAGCAAGGGTTTCTGCAGTGAAGCGTGATGTTTCATGTTTCAGCCTGTGAAGCGTGACTTTCTCCCACGCAGGTCTGGGCGTGTTTTCGTGTTGCCCACGCGGCAACGTTTGGGCGTGTTTCGAGTGATGTCATCGTCTCTTTCAAGTGGGCAAACATATGAGAGAGATAGAGAGAGAAAAAACATGCCATTTGATACCCCAAAGACGTGAAGACCCCGACTTCGTCGACTGAACTGGTGCGAGTGGTGCTGAGCTGCGCTAAAGGTGCATGCCATTTTTCCCCAAGTTACCGCATTGACTTCCCTTACCCAGACCCTCCATATACCTACGTTGACCTTGGAAACCGGCCCAATGTAGGTAAATAAATATGGGTGTGCAAGTGGGTGTGTATTTTGACAGGGGGACCCCCCCCCCCCAATGGGTTTATCGTTTTATATATATAGATGGTTTTAGTCTAGTCCTCAAGCTTGTCTCAAGTCCAAGTCCACTTCAACGGCCTTCTGAGCGCCCACTCTGCCACGGGTTTGACCAATCTATTTCCACGCAGAACGTTGCTTTTTGAAGCAAGTAATCAAGAAAGTCTATGTCCAAGGTCCCCTACCGTTGCCAAACCCAAAAAAGACACTGCAAAAAAGACTTCCAGTTCAGATGTTCAAAGCGCTGAGCTCATGCGCTCCGCATTGCGTGCTGAGTTCCAAGCCCTCCCCCTTTGCCTCCAAGGTCTATCCAGGCCTCCAAGATTTACCTCGCTTGGAAAAGAAGAGGCACCCGTAAACGCCGTAAACCACTGGGTGGCAACCGGCCGTCGTAATTTTTGTGCGTGGACCTTGTTGAGCACCTGAGCATGGTGTGTTTTCCTTGAAGCACATCGAAGCACACATGTCACTTGTCTAATGAGCGTTTGATGCAGTCGAGACTCATGTCTAGGGGTAGTCATCAGCGCTAAAACATGTTTGATCTTAGAATGAATCTTAAACCGTGATTAATAAACCATATTGAATCACATTGATATACTCCTATATACTACACTACCACTAGGGCATTCATCATCCCCAGAGTTCACCGTGGCGTGACGCTGGGATTCTCCACCTTACATAGCTTAGTCTTGCCCTCTCTGCTAGATTCTACTTACTAGGGTTTGTCAGGCAGGTCACTCAAACGGTCACCGGTCGTTGACCTCCAGAGAGGTGGGCCAAAATTGGCTTGCTGAATGTGTCCAAGTCCATGGACTTCTGCCCGGGGCCCAGAAAACCCGAAGCGGCGCCCACCAAACCGCCCCAACGGTGGACACGGTGGGCGAGTCGTGGATTGGGAGGGTCGGCGTTTCGGAGAGGTTTAGCACTTCATCGTGACTCATCCCATGTCATCATGGTCCTTTTGAAGACTAAAGCACATTAAAGCACATCTCATGCAAGGTGTCCTTGGGGGATACATTCTTGATCCTCAATCCGAAATATCAAAAGATGGAACATGACACATACCAGTTGCATTATATGCATGCAATTATTGTTCTTCGTGTTTCTACTCCAAGATCGACCCCCAGCGGTTGTGGCTGTCCGTGAGGCAACGCCACGATCGACTACAACGTGGTTCGGGACCTCGAGCCCGTCAAGTCGCTCGTACGACGGGCTCGCTCCACCGAACGAACGGTCCAACGGTCCAAGCCACGTGGACTCGCTCCACTTCCTTGCCTGATTTGTTTGATATGATGATGTGCCAGCCACATTGTGCCACAAACATGGGCCATGTCAGGATTTTTTGCAGCATGGCAAGCGACATGATCTTTGTGCAATCAAATGGCTCATAAAGTTCATTTTGGTATCCAAAGATTTCCGGAGAATTGTACTTATACATAAGCCTGGGTCCATGTATGCCATTTTTTCTGACAAGCTTTGAACTCTCCCCCCCAGTCTGCAGCTCTTGGATTCACCCAACACGTACTTGTGAATTGATTTGATTTTCAGGTTGAAGTATGTTGAAATATAGTTGATGGTTGAAGGGCCCCCAGCTTGGTTCTGGAAGTCAGTGCTGAAATGCTCCTCTTTAACATTCTTTAACTTTGGCTTGTCGGATCTTGTCAGTCTCAGGCCTTGCCAATGAGCGGCAAGAATACCAGTAAGGCCTTCATTCAGGAGCCGGGACGTGACCGGTGGTTTCACAGGAGATCAACCTGACAGGGTTTCACTTGGGGCGTTTTTGTGTTGTTTTTTGGGGTTTTATTTTGCAGGATGTCTTCATGCCTTCGCGGGGGTATTTGGGATGTTGAGGAGTTTAGTTAAAGTGTTGCTTGATATTTTCAATAGAGAACTCTTTCACCTGCCCAAACACAGGGAAGATAGCCAAACTCAGCCACATCAACCAACTTCTGCGAGGCTTCTTGTTGCTTCCGTTGGCATTGTGTGTTCTTTTGTTGGGGCTCCATCTCTCGCCGGCGCATGAACGCTCCGCTTCGACCGTTTCCGGGCCGCCACTCAATCAGCTCACCTCCCGGGTTGTGGCCGGGTGGCTGGCGACGATAAAAGCATAAAAGAGCCGAGGTTCGGGTTTGGATCGAAACATCCATCAAGCAGTGGCCCTGATGGATTTGTGAAGCTGCACCCCAAAAACGTGCTGCGGCTGCCACTGGCACTTGGTGTGTTATCCCGTTCAAATCTCCTAGGCCGAGACTTGGAGATTCTGAGGCTAAAGGGCACTTCACTTAAAAAGGCTTGGAAGGATCTCGAAACCGTGCAAGAGATCTTCATACCCTTTCACAGACTCAGAGGGAGACTAGAGGAAACGCGCATCTGAAGATGCCGAACATGTGATTAGATCCTCAGGTTCGGCTCTTCTTGGAAGTTCCGGGCTCGTACGACGTCGAGCTTTTTTTTCCCAATGCTCTTTCAGACAGGAGCTGGTTCAAAAGCAAGAACAGGAAGCAGTCCAGACGCCTCTCATTTGCAGCACTTTTGTCGTGCAGACGACCCACGAAGTGAATCTGAAGAGGACTGTTTGCACCATAAGTTGTGGTGAATTGTTTGGTGTGGCCATGGCTGAATCCCAACGGTACTGGTGTTGGTACTGTCCATCGTAACCCGCCAGAATCAAACAAGAACACCGCTTCTTGCTTCTTGTGTCCACTAGCAGGGCAGGTGGTTATAGGTGGTTGGTCACCTTATTCTTGGGCGACTCAGTGTGGGAGGTGACTTGTACTGGCCTACTGTCAGTACGACGTACATTTTCCTGGCATCTACTGTAATCCATCCAATCATGTTATTCATCCCAGGAAACATTCCTGAATCAATTCGTGTTCCTCTAGTAGTGATCTGAGACATATTGAGACGTACAAATTGGCCAGGCACAGAAATGCCCTGCTGTAGGCAATAAAACGGCTTGGTTCATGACACAGCATTTACGTACATTTAATACTTATGATCTCGGCCATCTTACCCCACAACAGAACAGCCAATCACAATTACAATCTGAAAAGCAAAGAAACTCATGATGACTTAAACTTACATCCGCTCATTCACTCAGCCACTGCTTATATAAACTCATCCACCAACCCAGTTTGTTCACCTTTGTTTCGCCCACACATCCATTCACTCATCCGTCCAAATCCAATTCCACATGCAGCCACCCAGCCATCCATCCATCCATCCACCCAACCCATCCATCCAGAAGCCACTCCAACATCACCCATGTCAATCAACCCCTACTCTCTCCCCCCGTCGTCCTGAGGTACTTCATCCACTTGTCGGCCATGGGCATCGAGCCCTGGGACCACTTCAGGCCCTTCGAGGTGCGCAGAGCAATCGTGTGCAGTCGGCTTACTGCTTACATCCCAGGGTGGATGTCCATGAAATGGTAGGCCCATGTGGGCCCCAAAAAGCACCATTCTATTATAGAACATCGTATTCTGTGCTATGCTATACTAGCTTTGCCTTGTGCCTTATGTTTAGACATGGGGTGGACTCAAACCAACCCGAGTTGGAGTTGGCACTGGAGTTCAAGTGTCACAGCTCGGCTCAGCTTGGCAAAACCCTCAGCCCCATTGTAAAGCCCAAATCGAGTCCAGAAGTCTCACAGTCTCACAGATCGAGTGAGAACAGATTGACTTGAAATCCCAAATTCTGAATCAGATAGATTATCATAATCTCTCTACTCCTGCTACAGTTCAGACCTCTCCGCAGGATTCCTCCTTCCAACTGCGCAGCTGTGCGCGAGCTGTCGCCAGGCGTGGGTGTTGGGGTCGCCAGGTTGAAGACAAATGAAGACTAGGAGTTTGTTTGTGTGTTCCTTTTTTTCAAAAGTATCTCTAAAGTAATAAAGATGTCCATGTGAAAGGTCGAATTCGCACAGGGATCCAAAAACATCCAAAAACGCTGTTGACATCAGTCCCATGAAGATACACCTCTGGGCCGGTTTCCGACGAGTCGTTGCCATTTGGAGGGTGCGCTTGCCGCAGCCATGAATCGACCAGAGCGGACCATGTTCTTCGGCTTGTTGGGCCCATACTGAATCCGAGGATGGCGTGCTACACCTACTTCCCAGCAGCCATCCACAACGTCCCCGATGGTGCTGAAGTCAGGCGCGACATCGCGCCAATCCCTGAAGCTGACGGGTTCAAGGTCCTTCGATCGGAAGACCAACCGACTGAACCGGTCGAGGATGGCCACGAGGTGATTGGAACCTAGTTCAATCGGAGCCGTTTGGCCATAGTGGCCAGGAAGGGGAGGCTAGGAAGGGGTGATTTGATTTGTCTACCAATCAACCTACGTAGAGGCGACGATTCTTGACATAATTCATTGAAGTCGGCGAGAAACCTGGCCAGTCGCCCCGAGGGAGTTGGTGTGTGAGTGAGAGAGACTCCACAAACGCCTGGGTGAAAGCAGGAATTTCAACTTGGAACCCATTTCTGAGGCAAGTCCATTCTGGAAACACTAAACAAAACAAGCATTTTAGATAGACAAAGTATCTGCATGTTCCTCTCAGTTCTGGGTCTCCCCCCTTTTCGGCTCAAGGAACAATCATTCTGGACCTCACTTGACTGACCGGAATGGACCCGTGTTTGGACTCACCGGGACCCAGTCCGGTTCGTTTCTCGTTCGGTCCGTTGGTGACGTCCGCAGGTATCATCGGCCTTGTGACACGGGCTGCGAGAGCTACATTCAGGCGGGGACGTGATGACGGTGACGGCGGTGACGGCGGTGACATTGAAAAAGAAGGTAGTCGGACTTGGAAGGATGTGTAATGTAGACTATTGATTAATAACCTCCCCATTTGAAAATCCTCTTCAGATGGGAGTCTATTAATCAAGAGTCTACTTAAGGAAAATGACAAAGTCGAGTTAGAGTCACAAAACCACATATTTAACCGGGTATTTTTCAAGACTTCATAGAAGATCACAGAGAGCCCAAGAGGTCGACATGGCGTTGTTGGGATGCATCCTCGATCTTTTTCAGAATGCATACAGAATACATTGATCGCCGCTAAGACCTGCATGGCTTCCCTCTTTGTGGATCCCTTTGCCCCACTGAGGCCTGTGGGGTGGAGTGCTGTGACGAGAGCACCGTGTGCGTCCGGGACACCAAGAGCGAACCGCGCGCGAAGAAAAGAGCGGTCTTCCGTGGTCTTCCTGTGATCGTGATGCACATCGAGTGGTTTTGGAGGCGAGTAAGAACGAAACCAGAGCATGGGCATGGTCGAACATGAGGCCTTGCAGGAAATCTGCGAGCAACGGATGGTCATGGACGCTCATCATGGATGATCACAGACTGATGGGACAAGATCACAAGACTAAGGGTATCAAAGATTTGACGCACAAGTTGTGAAGGGGCTGTGGTACAGTTTCACCACTTGCATTGAAACATCAACAAGGGTTAAAGGTGGAGCCACAACACCTGCGATAACAAAGCTGAAATGCTGGTTGCAGCTTAGTACCCATCCGGTGCAATCCCTTATAAGCCACATATATGGTTGTGGGTCAAAACCAGGAGACCTTTGTTCTACCTGGTGTGGGTCGTTCGTTACATGGATTGGATGAACATGGTGGATCACCACCCATTGATCACCATCACCAGGTCGCTGCTCGGTCTCTGCTCGGTGTTTGCTGGCCCCGCCGCGCGGTCGAGCGCTCCTCGCCGCTGGCGCCCGCGCCGGTGGACCAAGGCGTGGAACGCTCCACCCACTGCGGCCCTGCCGATGTTCCAGGCGCGCTTCGCCGATGTTCGGGAACGAGTGTCACGTGGTGTCACGTGGTGTCAGCATGGTGTTTTCTCGTGCATGTATTGGTGCACGCAACATTACATAGCAAAAGCATGCAAAAGCAAAACATGAATGTATTGTAAGCATATTTATAAGATCAATGTAAGATCATATAAGTAGCAGAAAGGAGCGCTATATTAATCATCTATTGGCAAGTCGCTCTAGACAACTGCCACGATGGTGATGGTACACTTGTTGGAGAAAATGCAGTTTTGGTATTTGTTGTATAAGATGTTGAATCTTTAAGTATTTGTTGTAAGCTTATTGAATGGTGTAGAACTGCATCCATAAAGGGTATACGTTTGGGACCTGAGTTCAAAAGGAAAACATCTCAGAGGGCATCGGATTTTTGTACCAGATTGAGTTGAGAAGGTGAGACTTAGCACAAACGTGAACCTGAGACGTTCGTCTCAGCCTGCGACGAGGTCCCGCACCGCCGCACCTCTTGGACTGATGTTCGCCACTTAAACAGAAGGAACTGTCCCCGACTGTATGTCCGGGGAGAGTTCCGGGGATCCTAAGTATATTTCACTTGACGGCTGTCTCTCTCGCCGGTCGGGGTTCGCTGGTTTTGCGTCGTGAGCCGCAGCGGTGTCGCCAGTGTCGCCAGTGTCGCCCGCGGTGTGGTGAGGCAGAGGTGGCGGATGGTGACGATCCGTCCTGCTGCCCCGACAAGAAGGTGCCGTGGGCCTGGGAGGTCCACAGACCTCCATAGAGCTGGAATCGAAGAGAATACTTCCTGATAGGGTCCAGGTACCTCGTTTTTGGAATGGCTTTGGAGGCGACATGAGGCGACATACGTACGAAACAAGAGCATGGTCTTTGGTCATGCACCCTCAGGGCTTCACATAGCAAGGCTTTGAGGTGGGTTTTTGGTTGAGGACCCGACACGCTTTGACTCGCGTTTTCCGGGCAACAGCCGGCCGAGTTTCGTATTCGATCTGGAAATCCAACCTGAGTTTCTCACTTGGGGTTTCAGATGTGAAGACAACTACGAGCCTTCCAAAGACCTTGGAGGTTAAGTTTAATGGAAGCTGGTTTGGCATGTGAAGATCCCAGCTCAGCTGATTGATGTTGTGTGAACCCTGGCAGGCCAACTTGACCGAAACCTCGAGCCCTAGTTCTGCGCCCAGGCCACTTTTGGGCGTTGGTGTGACAGTTGACCTCGCGCTCTACTGGGTACAATTGGAACCCTTATAGGATCTATCCCGTTCCGAGAGTCCCAAATGAGTGACCCTGTGAATAGTCGTGGACTATGACTCCTAGGTGGGGTAGTTCGGTCAAAAGGGAAGTTCTGGGAGTTGTAGACCCAATCCACGGTAAAATGCGGAAGAGGCAAACCCTTTAAGGGACACATGTGCACCGAGCCGACTGGCGGTCTAACCGGGCCGCGTTTTTTCGCTTCCAACAGACCGGGGTGAAGATCCACGGGCAACTGGCAACTGGTCTGTGATGTCAGCCGATGGACTACAAAAAGTGTAGGTGTGAAGCTCCTGGCCCATTGATATCACAAAGATTGGTCATCTGCAGGGCTTGAGGTGGCAACCGCCACCCTACAAGATCATGGGGTCTTTGGTCGAACAGCATAGATTAAACATTGTTTAAACAAGACTATATTGGATGAGGCAGAAAACATCATTCTCAGCTTCTCTTGTTTCTCATGTGAAACTCACCTTGTGGATGGGGCGATGTTCACGCGCTATCCTTGGGAGATCAGGGACCCACCGATGCGGTCGGTGATCGAAGCGACCGCGGTGCTCCGTCTCGGGGCGACCGCGGTGGTCCGTCTCGGGGCGCCCCACGGTGACCCGTCCCTCCCGAGGCATACGCAGGATGCCGACGGCCATGACATCACTCTCTTGTCAGGGTCTGGGTCCTAGCTCTGTCACACCGGCTCGGTCGACCAACGAGAGAACTTCCCAGCTGTGAGTGCAGGTGTATCATATAAGATCATATAAGTATGTATCAGGCATGTGAACGTCCTATTGACCATGAAACTGCCAACGTATCTCCGATCCAGACTTTTCCAAGAAGCGTTATTTATCGATTGAGGACAGCAACACGTGTACTGGTGCAAATATGTGCGAGTTTGTTCTACTGTGGACCTCGTGATGAGGACGTCGCTGGTTCGAAACTGACTGACATTTACTGTTTAAGACTCTGTGCAATGCAGAAATGCGGACGGCTCCCATCCCATCCGGTGGTGAGTGGTGGTTGTGAATGAGGGATCTCCATCATAGAGGGTTTCTAGGATTGTACATCCCAGAGAAGGCTTATGGATATGACATATGACATCATATGACAGTCAGCGAATCGAGCTAGCAACAAAGGGAACGTTTGGGGCCGACCAGCTTGAGATGCAGTATCACATGTCTCGGCCATACAAGCGCAAATATTGGTCATGACCTGTCATCCCCATTGGAAAGCATGTAAAGCCCATTCAGATGTGGAAACAGGGTCTTGTGCTCTTGGGTCGTTGCTTCCAGGTATGCCAAAGCAAGTGACGGCCTATGTACTGGAAGATAGCAGTTCACCCAACGAGAAAGCTGGTGCACGCGCGAAAGCTGCGAAGTGGTCAAAAGCAGCGAAAGCTTCAGGGCAACCAAACTCCTACATGGATTTGCTCCTCAAGAGGCATTATACATATTGCTATGGTATTGCGGTATACTATTACTATATCGAGTGTTTCTCCGCAAAACGGTTGAAGACTCACGACTGGGTTCATGGTTGACTGTGCTCGGGGGTCACTTTTCGGATGATTCGAGCCACTAGGCCATGTGAGTTCCGCATTCTTTTCATCCGCAGAAGCGCACGGCGCATGGCCTGATGGATCTTGCAAAGAGGGAGATGTAGGGATGGTGACTTTGGTTTTCCACCCAAAAGACAATGGTTTGGTCAATCCTAAGCTGCAAGCAGGCATAAACTTCGTGAAAGGTCATCGATCCCATGAGAACTCCCCATCGATCCAAACCATCTTTCTCCCCGGCCCAACAGGAAAGCCGGAGAACGGCCACGATAGAAGCTTTCCATCGACGTTCTACTCCCGGGCTTTTCCAAGGAGTAGGCCTCAAAGGGGACAAACGTATGTATTAGGCAAACCAGGCCTCTGATGGAAACGGTGGAAGTCTAGGCCGAAGAGTGAAAGTCTATGCCTCCATAGACAGCCCCAGGCACTTCATGATGCAGTCCAGGCACCTGCCCCCGAGGTGGATTCATATTTGTCCAGATCATTTGGGTTTCCCGGTATCAGCAGGTGTTGTTTCCACACAAGAACTCAGCTGTTTTCAAGAACAAACACATTCGTCCAAACCGAGCTGTGCAGCGATGGCTACGGCGACGGTGACCATTGAGAAAATCACCGGGGAGTCATATCAGAAGCTTGGTCATATGAGGGAGTGGATGGAGCATCCTCAGTCCATGAAGGCCTCAGCGGGCCTCAGTCCATGAGGCCTTGAAAGGAGTCTATTCGTCTATTTGGACCATCCACTCGGGGTGTTGTGGCTGGACTACCCTGGATACGCATTGGATGAGTCCAGGTAGATGTGTTGCTGTTCTTTTTTGCCATTAATGAACCACATCCATTTTACTATCATATATTTCAAGCATCCATCGCTGTGTCAGGTGTGCTGTAGATGTGGGCGACATTGTTCAAATCTTCAAGTCCAAGATCGCCGATCAGGTGCCATGATCTGAGTTGTCAGAGGGCGCGGTGTTGTGTGGGGATGATCATTTGCCACGCAGAAAGAAGATGGGAATAAAGTGCATTGCTACTAGTAACAAGAGCATCAGCATCGCTACGAGTAACAAGGACGCTACTAGTAGCTAAGTGCATCGCTACTCTTCAAAGAGATGGCTCGGGGCCATGGCCTGATGTCTACTTTCGTTTTGCGGATCAGAACAGTATTGAATATTGAACGAACATGATAAGAACTGCACTCTCACTTTCACTCTCTCTCTCTCTCTTTGCGCCAAGCTCGTTGTATAGCATTTGTGTCACTGGGAGTTTGCACCCCAGAACAAGGAGAGTGGTCCTTTTGGTGAGCTTGGGGTTCCGACAGGGAATCCAACAGCTTTTTGGTTGGAGCTCGTGGAATGGAACTTGTGTGTCTGAAAGAAAAAGAAACGACCGTACTCTCAACCAAGTGTGAAAGACTACTAAGTACTCTCGAGAACTCCAGTAGGATGAGAACTTGGACCATGCATACGACCTCACCTGATGTGCCGACATCGTTTCATGTCCATCAAAGTCAATCTTTAAAGTTCAAAACATCCTCAGAATTTGACAGGAAGCAGAGAACTCTGATGTATATATATATATAAATACACATGTCAACAAGGTTTGCCTCATTATGCCTCAGTTATTTTTCACAAAAGCAAAATGCGACCAGCATGGACCACGTGCAGTCTTTTTAAACTATTTTTTGCTGACAGATCAGCTCAAAAAAAGACCGATCTTCAGATCAAGTCAGTTCAAAAAGACAGAAGTCAATGTTGTTTGGAATATTTATATTATACCAGGACCATCAAAGGGGTGTCCTGGCTGGACTACCATACACTACTTAGAGATGGACACCCATTGATTGGATGGTCCAGGTATATTTGTGAAGAGTTGAAGGTATCGACCTAATATTCCCATCCACCTAACATCACCAAGAAGAAGGAGTGTCCATGCACCAAGTCCATGCCAGTGAACACAGCACATTCTGGCAGGTTCAAATTCCGGCAATGTGTCAGAGACTTATGCTTGCGCAGCATGCAGAGGTACTTTCAAGGAAAGAGGTCGTACCACCATGTCACTTTCTGTCGGAAATGTCAGAAATATGTTCTTTCACACGTTGAAGTATTTCTCGCATCGAAGTTTCCTTAGCATCAGGTCGAAGAACTTGCCCTTGACCTTGCTGTGTGTCTCAATATACTGAGGTCAAAGACTCACACTCATGGATCAAGATGAAGGCCTGCTGATTTCTCGATCATAAAATTCCTGACTTTTTTGGAGTTTCCTCCATGGTGAAAGCGAGTCCTGATCCCAATCCCAGGATCTTTGATACCAGAGTACTACGCGACATTGGATGAAATTGGAAAGCCTTTATTTTTAAGTCTGGCCAATGACCCCAATGAACGCATTCAGAATTTTCTGTGTGAATTTGGGATCAGTTGAATCCATTTTCGGGTCAAGAGTGCGCAAAACACCGAAAAGGAACCCACCGTTTCGAAACCGGCCCAAGCTGATTTCTCCGATATGCATCGCCGTCCGGACTTTTGGCTCGGCCAAAAACTCGTTTTGTGGATTTCAGCAGTTGAGGAAGGTCAGATACCATTGCATCCCGCCATTCAGAAGGGGGTTCCATCCATGATATCACCGGTGTCCATGTGTCCATGGCCTGTTTTCGCCCGGGACAGGTCGCGTCGCGCAGCTGCGCGAGCTTTCCAAGGACGGGCCGGACGGGCCGGACGGGTCAACACCTCACCGTACAAACCATCGAAGGTTGACATCCTGTTCACCATTAGGAATCGGTTCATTGGACCCGGGGTGTTGGTCAACGGGCCGGTCCCCGCGGAGCGTAGAATGACGCACAGCCATATTGCCTTGTACGATTAAGATTCATATGAATAGAGGGGAGAACCCCCAAGCGAACGATGCAAATTTGACCCCTCTATAATTCCTGACCGTTTGACATAGCATCACCCACGTAGGTTGGAAGAGAAAAGGACGTTTCCCTTCTTAAAAGTCCGAGAGACAATTGACTCCCAAAGCACAAAGCTGCTGACATTTGTAGACAAAGAGAAGGATTCGACAGAAGGACTGCGCACAAGATCTAGTTTACATCCGGCTTTAGTCAGGCACCTTTTTGGGTAGTCTTAAGGACGCTACTAGGGGCTCCTGGCCTTACTACTAGGAGCAAGGACGCTACTAGGAACAAAGGGCATCGCTACGAACGGAGCAAGGATGCTATGGTGGTGTGAACTTCTTTTCGTCACGAGAAGACCCGTCTGTCGCCTACTCTGTACACTCAGGAAACCGGCTCTCTCTTTCCATGGGTTAACCGGTGGTTCTTTTCAGCATGGGGGCCGCATGCAAACCCGCGAGTTTGATGGCAGGAGTTTGTGGGAAAGAACTTGGCTCGTCTCCTGGAGAAGGTGAAGCGACCGGACATCCAGGAGAGGGAGAGCTTTGGGTCACGCTTCTCATCCTTCGTTTGGAAAGTCCCCAAGTTGGGATCTCATATGGTTTGCCATATACTATATCCGAAACGTGTACAGACTCGAGCATGGCATCAGTGCTGTGGAAAACGCGGCTACGTGTTCTTTGTGTGTGTGAAAATGATGGTGATTGGGGAATCCAGTAATGAGTAATCATGTTCTTCTCAGCATGGAACGAACGTCTTTTGGGAACGCAATGGAACGCAAGACTGACGGAAGACCAACACTTCCCGCCTCCACTGTGGGACGACGCATCCCACGTCATCCCACGTCTCAGCATTGAACGTGTCAACGACCACCGACCGGGCGGGCGTCGTCAATGAGGAGATCAAGGCGTTTATGAATCCGCCACGGCTCTGCAGGGCATGCCTTCAAGTCGTGCCTTGGCGCAGCTGAACAAAACGGAGAATAGCCACCCGAGAGAGAGAGAGAGAGATGGAGATGGAGATGGAGATGAGAGAGCGAGCAGGTCCCTTGGGGTTGGTGCGTTAGATTGAGCTGATGAGGTTGAATTTGATCGTCACGCATAGTGCGTCTTGTCAAGCTTAAAGAAAGCCGATGAGGTCAAGCAGGTGTAAGTTACAGATCTAAGCGAAAGACAAAAATCCGCCCGCACCGAAGGTGCCGAGGCGTTGAGGCTCGCACAAACCGCAAGAAATCTGCCAGATAAATCTTAAGCTTTAGCTTTACTCAAGCATGGGTAAATGCTGTGTTTTGCAAATGGATATGGTTTTGGACCAAATGTTCGCGATGCTGGTTATGCCGGCCATGGAGAATGATGTTTTCGACATCGCAGATGCATGTGCAACCCGGGACACTGCACTGTTGACATCATGGGTGTGTTTGTCCGTGTGTCCTGCCCGACCGAGACACAGACTGACAGACCGAGATAGACCGAGATAGACAGACTGAGACAGACAGACCGACCGAAACAGACAGACCGAGACAGACGCACCGAGACAGAACCCTCTGTGAAAAGGCTGGTGATTAGATACGGGGCCATAGCGAAACGCTTCTTCACGCTTACATTTCCTTCCGGCTCCAAGAGCACAAGTTGCTAGTTCCCGGCTCCGCGAGCGCAGGTTGCTGCCGAGCCGGTAGGGTGCTAATTGCATGTATGTATGCCTGTATGCATGGATGGATGTTTATGTCTGTATGTGTGCGTGTGTGTGTGTGTGTGTGTCTGTTTTCCCTTTACTCTGTGCTGGCGGCTTCGACCGCGAAGCGGTGTGAATATCAAAGGGCTGGGTATCACCCTCCTAAATTTTTGACTGTCGTCGGCCCAGCCAGGGGATGCAGGGTATCACTTTCGGTGGTCACAGGTGTTGAATAAACGCAGAAGGAAAAAAGGGGGGACATGACAACAGAAGGGGAAAGC